TATATCTGTTTTATAAAACCAAGGAAAGGAATTCTGAATGTTTAAAGACGTAAAAACAATACATTTTTTAAAAGTGATTTAAATCACTGAGTTTTATTTTTAAAATCAAGTTGATATAAATTTAAAAAATCAACTGATTTAAATCGACTTGATTTAAATCAACCCAACCCTGGTTTTCAATTATGAAAAGAAAGAAAATTGAATACTGTTACACTGTATTATTTTACAGTGACAGGGGGGGGGAAGCAGACTTTTAAGCATTATTATATTAGTCTACTAAGCCTTATATATGTTAAATAAAACCAAGGAAAGGAATTCTGAATGTTTAAATATGTAAAAACAGAATACATTTTTAAAAAAGTGATTTAAATCACAAAATCAAGTTGATTAAAATAAAAAAATCAACTGATTTAAATCAACCAAGCTCTGATTTCAATTATGGGGGAAAAAAGTAAATTGAATACTGTATTATTTTACAGTGAAAGGGGGGGGGGAAGCAGACTTTTAAGCATGATTATATTAGTCTACTAAACCTTATATCTGTTTTATGAAACCAAGGAAAGGAATTCTGAATGTTGAAATATAAAAAAAACTGAATAAAAATAAATTTTTAAAAAGTGATTTAAATCACTGATTTTTATTTAAAAAATCAAGTTGATTTAAATCAACATGATTTAAATCAACCCAACCCTGCCTGGCTGTGAATAAGACGATATATTTTGCATTGTTTCTATCAGTAGGCTGTGTGTTTTGTTTGATACTTGCATAAAACATGTTTCTAACACTACTTTCATGGACTGCTTTTTTTTTTTATTTATCTGAAGGCTGACGTGGAAATGCGCTGGGCAATGAAGGCTATGGAACACGCAAATGTTCACTTCAATGTAAGCAATATCATCAGAAACCGGTTGTTTTACATTGTAAATATGTATATATTATAATATGTCAAAATATATAATGTACAAATTTGTCCTCTGCTGTGCTTTCCTTTCATTACAAGATACTATTTCTCAGTGCTGAAGAACTTTCATAATATTCTTTTGAAAGGGAAAGAACAGGAGGGAATCATGAACCCACTTAGACTGTAACTCTGTATCATATAATAATGATAATAAATAGCATTTGTATAGCACGTATCCCTGCTCATCAGCAAGACCTATGCACTGTACACTATTAAATATGGTTGTAGTCCAATGTTTTTTCAGAGTTCTAGGTTAAGGCAAAATGTCCATTTACTCATCATTCAAGCTGCACATTTCAAGTGCCATTGTACCACAGAACATGCCACATTTACAATCTGAGATGGAAACTTCTCTCCTTCCTCTTTCCACCTACCTTACTTAGAGCTGTCAGTTTGGACATTTTAAAAATTCATTTCTAGTCATAAATTTTATGCCATCGCCTTGGATTTAGTATCTGGATCTGAATTTTTTCAGCAAAGTACAGCTCTTCTCTCCCCCCGTCTATATTCTATATTGGTTTGAGAAGGAATTTTGCTTGTTGTTTTTTTTTTGTTTTTTACCCTTTTTTTATTTGGTTATTTTTCAGCTTATTTCTGCTGTAGATGCTTCTCAACTGAGACTCACAAAGGTGGATGATAAAATCTATGAACATTTTCGGGCAGAATTTCCCGATTTCAGTCTACAAAAGATATCTGAGGATGATTTGAAGACCCCTGAGTCAAAAGAGGTAAAATGGATATAATGGTTATGAATTATTCAAATTTCATCTTCAAGGAGGCGAGAAGAAAAATGAGAAAAGGCCTACATAGCGCAATGGACTATGTCATAGGAATAGTTTTTTTAAACAATGACAGATCATTATGTTTGAGGCAACAAAATTCTGAATTGCAATAATCTCACAGTCTTGAAAAAATTAGGCTCCATTTCTATGTTATACTAATTGTACTCAGTTAGGTCACCAGGCCCTAATGCTGACTGTATCGGTATGGAAAATGTTGCTCTCGTGACCGAAAACACAAATTTTGTGTGAAGCTGACTGTAGTCTAATGGGAAGAGTAACCATTTTTCGTTTGAAAACAGACTATGACCAGAAGTGCAAGCCCAAATTTAGAGCAAAGAAAGCTATATATTTGTGAACCGTGTAAGGGGGGGGGTGAAATTTGAACTCACTTCCTTTCTTCGTTTTTTGTTTACTTTGTGACTCTATAGACCTTTTTTTTTACGGAGTATTGCATAAAAACCATAACACATTTTGCCTTCAAATTTTCACTACACACAAATAAATTTTTGAATAAAATGTATAGTAAATTTGGGTAGAATATATTAGAATTTCCTTTTTTTTCAATTTTTCCAAAAAGTGTTAAAAATCTCTAGGGAGAGCTGACAATCCGAAAGTGTAGGCCTAGGGTTGAGTGAGTTTAGATCAATCCAATAACTCCTTATGCGCAAAATCTGGCAAGCGCCTGATTCACGCAACACATTACTTTTACTTTATTAGCTAAGGAGAGCTCAGTTTGTATGTTTTTTGGTCTCTTTCATTCTCACTTCCTAATTTTATTATTTTTTATTTTTTTATTTTAGAAATGGCGAAACTTTTGTGAATCATATAAGGGAGAAGTTGAGGATTACAATCAAGGCACTCTGCTGCGGCTGGATTGTGAAGGAGACTATACACCAGAGAACACAACTCTCAGTAAGTATTTTTTGAGTCTATGAATCTGAGCTTTTGAAGTTTTCCCCAACTGACAATGTCAAAATGCTTTATGTTTACTTTTTTTCTTAAGTGTCACTATATCACCTTGTCTCTGCGACTTGTGATTTCATGTTTCGTGAGAACTGGTCTTGTGAATGTATTCCTTTTCATTTATCTTCATAGAAACAAGATTAGTTGAGCTTTTCCTTTTGCTATATGAACTGAATGAACAAAAAACTGATGCATATTTGTGTGCTATCATGGTGAAAAATAATGCTTTTTGTCTGTTTGGTAATCCTATTGCGTTGTGAATGGGTGCTTGTAATCATTCTAATACTTTTGAGTACACCTCGTTTAGAATATTTTGGGGGGGGGGGGAGGGGGGTATAATTTGTATTATCATGCTTCTGAAAGTTGACTCCTGTTTTTTTCATTCCTGATTGTTTTTCGAATATTTTTCCTGTTACTGTTTGACAAACTTCCAGTTGTAGGTCCTGTTCTTTTGTTCAAGTAAGGTTTTATTTTTTTTAGGGGGGGGGTGGGTTATGTAATTTGATCTAAGTTGTTATGGGCAAAGAATGCACATAACCAGAGTTTATCACAGGTCTCCAATAGAAGTTAAAAGGAAAAAAATGATATGATGTACTGTGGGGTTACCAGGTGGGGAGCTTTGTTATTGGTCCCATGTCAACAGGTGCTACAGAGAGGAGGAAATACTGATTTCACCACTTTATCAAAATTTAAATCGGCACTTAAAACGCATTTGTTTCAGTCCAGCTTCAATCTGTAATTTCCGACATTCCCAATACAATTATTATATATTCTCTCAGTATCTATTATGTTCTCTCAGTATCGTTTATTCATGCTGTTCTGTTCTGTAAGAATTTATGACTGTGTGAATTCATCAATGTGTGGGAATGTGTCTGGGTAAGCTTTGTGGGATTGTCTTTACTCAAGAATGTACTGGAGAGAGGGAGAGAGAGAGAGAGAGAGAGAAAGAGGATTACTATAGGAGCTGTGCGCTTCATATGTTCTTTGTATTATTGTACAGCGCTTTGAGCACTTCTTTGTGGAAATGCGCTATATAAATGCAATTTATTTATTATTATTATTTACTTTCTCTAATCAGTCAGAACTTGTTCAGTTTGGTGTTTTATACTGCAGTAGTTAGAGCAAGCAGAAGTTCAGACTCAGTCCTCTTGTGAGGTTCATAAAAAACTCTGATGTTTTCTTTTTTCCATATATTGTATATTTGGTTAATCTTCACCTTGTGTGTGGTGATTTTTTTTTATCATCTGATACAACGTTGATGAAATATGTTAGTCATTAGGCTGTAAAAACATTTTTGTTTGAATTTATTCAGTAAGCATAATATATAGAGTACATTTGTGTTGTGGTCTAGGAAAACCAGGACTACTTATTCATCGGACACTAGTCATATATGTATAATCAAGCCTTCGGCAAACTCCTATCAGTTTGGTGTCACAGGCCTAAGGAATAAGCAAAAAATGTCAATTTCCAATGTTTTTCCTTTCAAATTCTGTAAGCTTTCCAAAACTGATGGCTCTATTAATTTTGATTATTGTGCTTCCGTCTTCAATTCTTATGCAATCTAATATTGTGAAAGCAGCTTATTCATCCCTTTTCTAGGTAACATTAGACCAGAGCTAAAATATTGGTATTCTGTGTTTAGTAAGCATATTACTGCTTTGTAACACAATTAGGTTATATTAGTGTCGAAGATTAGAGGTGTTACAAGAAAGAAACAAAGGAGAAATAAGTTCGATAGATGTTTGGTAGGAAAGATGGAGCAAACCACATCGGAGTACCCGCCAACCACCCACTTAAACCTTTGGTAGAGAGTATTCCATACTGTGTAAAGTAAAAGGAAACTAACTGGTCTGGAGAAAGGAAATTGGTAATGGGAAGCAGGTAGGACAACTATTGGAATTGTATTTATTGTTTGTTATGTAAAGTTTAGTGCCCTGATTTTGTTTTTCGCGCTATTT